TGGCTATGTTTTAGCCGGTGGATGGAATCAGTGTCAAGTGGTCTGAGCTCCTCCAGGATGAAGGGACTCTGTCTTGTGGGGCTTGCTGGAAAATGGGAAGTATTTGCTGGAGGAAATTCCAAATAAGTGAAAAAACTATTGTGTTTCCACTTCCTTTTGTAGAGACTTTCCAGGTGTGTGTGTGGGTTCTTTTGTCTGTAAAACCCCCTCATTTTGGCAAAAGAGACCCCTTTTTCACTGAAAAAAATTCAGCCCCCTGTAATAAAGGGATCCTGCAAAGTTCTGTGGCTAGCCATGTGCTCCATGCACGTAACAGGGTGAGTACAGAACTGCTGGACTCTTCTCTTTCATTGGCCTCTCCTCATTCCACTGACCTAGGCCAGTTACTCTCTCTGCATATGAAAAATTGCGGTCTCACCTAGGAGCCCCAGTCCCAGATCAGGACCCAATAGTGCCAGGTGATGTACAAAGAGAACAAAGAACCGGCAACCTATGTTCTGGCTTTCCTGCACTGGCGTTGGTTTGGTGCTTTGACCCGCATCACATACTCAGCTTTGCTTCCCATTTGTCCTATGAGCCTAAATTCCCCTTCCACAGGGACTAAGTGACTGTTGATGGTCTGTGACCACGAGATGAGGTCCCCCCACCACAAGCTCTGCTGTGGCCTGCGGTTCCATGGGGCCATGCTGGTATCAACCCATTCGTAAGGCGCTCATTTGCAATAGCCCCCTTGGTGCAGGGAGACCATCTCTGGTGCGCTGAGCAACCACAGCTCCAGCTGATGGCCCAGGGAGCCACAGATCAGAGCAGCGTTGTTTAAAAATGCGTTTCCTAGGAGACGGGGTGGTAGCTTCCTTCCTTCTTGTTTCGTTTCCCGTTGTGCTGGAGCCAAGCCATCTCCCTATTGCCCAGACCCTGTTCATGGGGGGTTCAGACTGAGCAATGCATCCAGTCAGCTGGAACCTATCCTGTGGGTATGAGCACCCCACACACAACTGCCCCCTGCTGGTGTGCCCCTCAGCTGGCAAGACCATCTCCAGGGGAAGAGAGGAGCTGTGACCGTGGTGAGCCAGATTATGAAATGAGTCTGGGTGAGTTTAAATTGTGATGACTAGCACCATCTCCCAGCACCCTTGATGTGCTACCCCAGCTGAGGTTCCTTTCCTTAGACTCACACCCACTTACCAGTATGTATACCCCTCCCTCCCAGTCCATATCACAGCCCAGGGTTTGGAGACAGCCACTACGCACCTACCCCCCATGCCATCAGGTCTCTGAACCTACTGGCTTGTTCTCCAGAACCTCAGCTTTCCTGTAGAATAAAAAGTCTTGTTTTTAGTTGTTCTGGCTGCAAAGAAAACATTAAAAATGAGACCCGGGCGTACTTGCTGCAGCAAGGGTCTGCAGAGCCCGGAACAGTCACTTGGAGAGATGTGAACTTCCTGGTCAGCAAGGACTGACCACCAGAGCTGATCATTTCAGTGCCCCATGGCTCACAGCAGAGAGGAGAGGGCAGGTCCCAGATCTGCGCCCTCCGAGAGACATCTCGTTTGCATGTGGGTGGTGTTTGGAAGATACTGTTTTCCTCCCTGAGCCCAGATTTTAAAATCCCCATGATCTACTGTGCGCAGCGTCTTATTGGGGCATCCCACATGGGCAGAGCTCACTGTGTGACTGGAGCTTGGAAGAGTCCCACGGCCTTTCAACCCTGGGCAGGCCTAATCATGTCTGAGCTTCAGCTCCGCTATGGTAGTTAACCAGCTCTACTGCTCACCTTCATATTGCAGGAGACTGGCAGCAACTCACCAGGGAGGGCTGCATCTGAGATTGGTCTCCAAATTCCTATTTTTCCTCTAAATGTAGGCAGCCGCTGGGTGGGAAATGTCACCCAGGGTTCATTTTCATGCCTTTGAATATCCTCCATCATTTTTGCTTGGGTTTTCTTCATAGACATTTTTCATAGGAAGGGTTTGAATTTGGGCTCGGGGTGAAATTTTTCCTCGGCAGCCCTACTTTTTATTTATCTCTCTTTTAAAACTTCACCTGTCTGCACAAAATGGAGCAGGGAGGCCAAGCCCAGCGAGATCTGATGCAAGACGGAGAGATTTGTTAAAGAAAACATTGGCTCTTGAGTCATTTTCAGCCACTGTTCATGTTCTGTGCACACAAACCTGGCTGATAGAAAACCAGGCACATAGAAAAATCTTCTCCATGAGGAGCTACAACTGCCGGTCAGGTTTTGTCAGGCAACATCCCATGGGTCACGTGCAGTTGCTGATACACAAGGACTCATGCATGGCTGCTGGCAGACAAAGCATTCTCTTTCAACCACTGCACGTCTAACCCCAGAAGTCCACCCTCATGAAAACACTGAGAAAAAGCCCAAAGAATTAATAGAGAACAATCTCTGTTGTAAAGTAGTCAGGATTAACACACGCACAGCACAGACCCACAAAAGCAAGGCAATGAAAAGTGAACTTACTCCCCTACACCTCCATCACAAACACACATTGCCACAGCTACTGGCAGCACCACTCATCACAACCTTAACTCTGCCCTGCTTCATCACAACCTTAACTCTGCCCTAGTAGACACACCAGCCTTCCATTGCCTCCTTGACTACCCTTCTGCACCCACCCCTTTACTAAGCCCTCTCTCACTACAGCAGCAAGCCGGGGGCTAACTCGCCAGCTCAGGGAGGGTCAACGTCACATCAGAGTCTGTGTCAGGGCCTTGCCTCATACGACACAATTTAGGGGTTAAACCAAATTCTTAGGCAAACTGCCAAAATAAAGCAGCTCCTCTGCCCCATCTGGCTACAGTTTCTGGAGGCTTTTCTCTCCACTCTTTCAGCCCTTTGCCCTAAACCCTCAGGGACACCCGCAGGAAACTTTCTACTCCTTGCACTTCCCAACTCCCCAGGCCCCATGTCAGGTGCCAGCTAAGAGCTGGATCCTTTCCCCTGATACAGGATCTGACCTGCTGTCTGCAGGCCACCTGAGAGGCTGATACATGAACTGGGTTCTTTCCCAGGATTCAGGCGCTCCCTGCAGCTCTCCAGCTCAGCTGAGCTCATGCTGATTCTTCTGGGAATCATCCAGCTCTCACCTGCTCCTTGGCCTCACTGGGAGCCAGCCTGCTAGTCACTGGTGGGGGCCAAGCTGGATTCCCATAAAGGGCCAGCCTAGTCTGTGGCCACAACCAACAACTGCACCAAACACCAGCCACAGCTAGCGAATTGGGCTCTTCTCTTGGTTACCATGGGGGACTGAATCACAGACATCTAGAGTGAATCACTAAAGCAGCACATCCCCTAGCCGACAGCTATACTAGACCCATGTCCTCTGTGGGTCCAGCACACTAACACACACCGAGCGCTGGGCCATGCATCGATTTGCTTTGGAAGCGTACCTTTGCTTGTTTGCTTTAGTTCTTTCCTGGGGAAATGACGGCCCAGGGTTGTCCTGCCCCCCAGGACAGCCGTTGCAAGTGATTTGGACATTGCCTTCACAACAGTGGTACCTCGCTCCCTGGATCATCTCAGGAATGAGCCACATGTTTGCAGCACAGACTCACCCAAAGCACAGGCCGGGAGAGAGCAGGGAAAAGACGCAACCAGACCTGAGCCTGGCTTTGGGATCATATGGGATAACTCCAAGGGGAATGTCTGTGACAACCCAGGCTTCCAGCTCTCCGCATTAATCACAAGAATCTCTTGTGTCTCATCCTGACTGCAGGTTGCTCAGTTTTACTGTGCAGAGAACAATCCTGGGCATTTGCAGAACACCTTTTGCCCCATATGATCCCCAGGTGCCCTGGTGGCCACACAAATCACCCAACCCACCACTGACATGCAGCCGCCTCTGGGGAGGAAGAGATCAGCAGCCACAGTTTGACACCTCATCGGCAAGACGTGGCTTCGAGTAGCGCAGAGTCTGCCAAAAAATGTGGATCAGCATCGGGCTTGCTCAGAGGAAAGAACACCACCTGCTGAATTTTGAGGCAGGGCAGGGCCCCGGAAATTTGCTGGAGATCCCTAGCACCGATTCCACTGATGCCTTGAAGCCTTGCCACTCCAAACAACTTCCCCAGCCCCACATTGGGGTTCACCCTGCATCTCCCTGGGAGCTTGCCTTCTGTCTTGTGTAGGTGACAACTCCGAACCTCCTCCCACAAAGGGTTAACCTGTCTTGTCTTGGGGAACTGATGCAAGGAAGGAGGGGGGTCGGGAGCTGAGATAATGACGGGAACACGCTTGGTGCTGCTGTCAGTTATGCCTGAGTTTTTCTTTGTTGTAGGATATTTGGCTGGCTGGATTCTGCAATATCACAAAGGCCCCTTCCTCCCCCCCCTTCCCTCCCTCCCTCTCTCTCTCTCTCTCTCTCTCTCTCTCTCTGTCTCTGTCACTCACACTCCTCTTCCTCCTCTCTCTCTCCCCCACCCACCCCAGGGAGCCAGGAGGCTCCAGTGCAATAGGCTGCAGAACTAAGCCAGACAAAGGACTAGCTTTATTTATTTAGATTTCCTAGGTGACACCCCCCCCCCGCCCTTTTCTGGGCACTCCCCCTAGAAAACAGGCACCAAAGAATGGGTGGGAAGTGAAGAAAGGTACCAAGGGTTTGTAAGGAGCCGCACTAGCCAACCCGGGCCCCAAGGCTGGAGCAGGGGAGCCGAGCAGGGCTGGGAGGGTGGAGGGAGTGAGGCTGGAGGTGAGCTGGGCAGGGCTGCGGGGGCATGTAAACTGATCCGGGGGTGGGGAGGAGACCAAACCAATCCCCTTCCAAGCATTCCTCTGCAATGCTCCCTGTGCCAAGCCCTCCTGAGGCTCTGGCACCAGCGACTTCAGCGGGGAGGGGCGGTACAGGTGGAAAGGGGTGGGAGTGGGGGTGAAAGAGAAGCCAATCAATCCAGCCCCTCGCCCCGGGCGGGGGAGGGCGGGGCTATGCAAATCGCAGGCAGCAGAAGCCAATGGGCTGCGGCGGGGCCGCGGGCTCAGTGCGAGTTGTGGAGCCGGGCGGGCCGGGGGGCGCACGGGGCCGGAGTCTGCCATCGCAGCGCGCAGTTCTGCTCGCCTCGCCAGCAGCCAGCCTCTGCGCACCGAGCCGCCGGGGGGGGAAGGCAGCGCAGCCCGGCCCGGCCCGGGGAGCCTATGGCTCGAGGGGCAGAGCCGGCTTGCCCCTGATCGCCGGCACCCCGCAGCGGGGCTTCTGGGGGCGCCCGGGGATGGCGCGGGGACTGTGCCGCCGGGCACCCTGCTGAGATGCGCTTGGGCTGGCGCTAGGGTCCCGCTCCCCTCCGGGCTGGGGCTGCGCCTGGATCGGTGCCGGCTCCACGCCCGCAGCTCGCCGCGGCTGGGAGCCCCGCGCGTCCTTGCTGCCCCGTCGGGGGGCTCGGGCCCCGGAGCGGTCCGAAGAGGTACGTATCCGGCGCGGAGCAGGGTGCGGGTATGGCTGCGTCGGGCGAGTGGGGACCCAGTCCCTGGGGCTCGGGCCCCTGCCCCGCGGGCCCCCCAACTTCGCCAAGGCTTTGGCGCCGGCTGTGGCTGCAGAACATCCTCCCCTGTTGCGAGGCGAGGGCCCGGGGAAGCCCGTTGGGCTGCACCTCCGGAGGGTCGGCAGGGATCAGGCCCTGGCAGGGACCTCCCGTCCCGATGGGGCTGAGGGGGGCTGGGAAGGCAGAGATCCAGGCGAGCGCTGCTCCCTACAAACTTCGGGCTGGTTTGAACTCCCCAGGACAGCGCAAGTCGTCTGGTCGTTCTGTCCTGCACCCGCGGGGGCAGAGGAGGGGAAAGGGGTCCTGACTTCCTAGGGGCTAGCAGGGCTCAGGGAAGCTCCAGCAGCCGAAAAAGCCGTGGGGGAAGCTAGACGTGCCGAGTCCGCCGGCTCCCCGGGGAAGCTCAGCGGCTCTGTGCGGCTGGCTAGAGGGAGCTGCCTTGGCCGGGGAGGGAGTCGAGTAGGACGGCAGATCCGCGTGGGAAAAGGAAAGGGATGGCGTGCCAGGGCTGGCCTGGCTCCCCGCAGCGCCCTGGTGGGGCAGGGCTCTGGATAGCCACCCACAGCCCCTGCAGCTCAGAAAAGTCTGTCTCCCTTTCCGAAGTCTCCTGCTGGTGCGAGGAAGGGGCTACCTCCAAACCCCAGGCTGGCTTGCACCTTTAGGGGGTTTGTTTCTCTGTCCCCTTCCCAGGCCGCTTTGCCCAGCCCCCTTGGCGCTGCCCCAGGGGGAGGTTCTGCTCTCAGCCACTCCAGGGCCTTTGCTTTGGGCCTGGAGTGACCCAGCACAGAGGTGGGCGAAACCCCTGGGTCTGAGCGATCTTGCGGGCTCTTTCACCTTTATCAGCTCTTGAATTCCCTGCATTTGTCGTCCATTCTCCCTTCTCTCCTCCCCCTGCTCCCTCCTCGCCCCCTTGTTTGAATTCTTCTCCCAAGTTCTGGGCCTAGGGGCAGCGGTGTGTTCCCTTCTCTGCCCTGCCCCTGGTGGGCGGTAGGGGAGGGTTAACCTGTCCCCCACCTCCATCATCTCTCTACAGCCTGCATTGTCAGACGGGGAGGAGAGGAGCTCTTCCAGGTTCTGCTGCCAGCCTCACTCCCACATCAGCCTGTTTGTTTTCCCTTTGGCTTTCATTTCCCCAATGAAAACACAACTGCTGGGTAATTAGTGGGAGACATTGCCATGCCTGGGGAGCTGCGGCCGCCCTGGCTAATTGAGTCAATTTGTTAGACAGGGCAAAAACCCCAACCCCTTGTTCTCCTTTGCTGCAGCTCAGATCTCTCAGTGCAGCTGGAGACGTCCCTGCCAACAGCTGGCACGGGTTGCTTGGGCTGGGGCCCTTGGGCCAGAGCATCAGGTGTCTGTGTGGACACTGTGGAGCCAAGCCCTGGAATGGGGGATGTCTCTTGTTTGGGTTAGTAACAGCTGCTGGCATTTATTTCAGCATCCCCCAATTCCTGTCCCCTTCCTTTCTTTGTGCAGCCTCAGTCGAAACCTGTTTTGCCTTCTCCCGTGCAGGGACCTCTCTCCTCGTCCATCTCTGGATGGCCTGTGGTCCAGTTGTCCCTGAGTTGTGGGGCTCATAGAGAATGGATGTTAGGTAGGGAGGCTCCTGAATCCATGGGAGAGATGGATCTGCCTGGGGGGAGGCGTGGAGCGAGGGGAGAGTCAGAGGGCTGAAAGATGGAAAGAAGGGACCCTGAGAGGAAAGAGGGACCTGCCAATGGGGAACGGAGGGGCACAGATATGCCAGGCCCTTGGCAGTCTCACCCTGGAGGAGCCAGTGTGCCCAGACCCAGAGCACCGGGAGACTGTTAATGAGCAGGGGGGAGGTAGGGAGGGCAGCTTGGCTGTGTCCTGCTGGAGGGCCAAGGGGTTGGCTGCGGTGACGACTCACATTTGGATGGGCAGAACACCAGGGCAGGGGATGGTGTATTGGGGAGAAAGCAGTGCTTGACCCTGGGGTATGCTGGATGCCCCAAGATGGCTGGTTTGGGAATGTGGCAGGAGTAGCCCTGGAGACGGGCAGAGTGCTCCCACGGGTCCGGGCTTGGGGACCTGCCTGGCTCACTGCCATGTCTGCTCATTGTTGGGCCCTGGCTCATCCTGGCAGGTTTTCAACACCAGTCCCCTCCGCCTCCCCTTCACTCTGCTTTCTCCCTCTGCAATGAGGGGGTGTGTCTCTCCTCCCCACCAGGCCGGGAGGGAGGCCGATCTCACCTTGGGGAAATAGTCAGGAGTCACATGGCAGCCCCAGCTCCTGCCAGTGCCACTGTGCAGGGCATGGAGTGCCGTGGACTCCCTGGGAGCATGGCTGTGGTGGGGAGTGGCAGAGGGTGGGGCAGTGGGGTCGCAGATCAGAGTGCTAGTGGGGAGCCTCCAACCGTCCCCCCGTTGTTCAGGCTCAGGGCGCTTCCTCTTCAGAAATACAGGCCCCCACACACTGCCAGCCCATGCTGTTAGGATGCTGGGGCCCATCAGCAGAGGGGGCCACATGCAGCTTGCCTGCTCTGTTCCTCTCCGCTGGGAGCAAAGGGTCCTGGGACAGCAAATGTCTCAGGTATAAGGGCACAGCATCAAACCCAGGACAAGTGCCTTAGTCAGGTGACCCCGCTGACCCACCCAACCTATGATGCCCACCTGGCCTGGTCTCCTAAGTGCCCCCAGGCTGTCAGCCCTTGGAAATGATCTAACGCAGTGGCAGCCCTTCTTCTACCTGACTGATCCAAGCTCCATGCACATGGGGCTAGAATGGTGCTGCTCTCCTGGGTGGGTGGGGGGGGGGGTACTAAGAGGATGTTTTGTTCTCCCAACCTTCTCCCAGCCCTGACCCACTGTCAGACTCCAAGACTCCCTCCCACCACAGGTCAGACAGCTGAAAAGAGAGAGGAATATCCCATAGCCTGACCCCAAGGACCAGAGCCACACCGAGAGACCTCTCTTGGGAGAGGACGGGGCGTGAGGAGGCAACGGAGGGTTAAATGTGGCTGTGGAGGAGTTATGTAGGGGGAAGTTATCTGTCCAGTCCGAGGGGCTGCGGCGTTTTGCTGATGTCATTGTGTGCGTGTCTTAGTTACGGAGTTCTTAAGAAGTCCCTTTTGACTCCTGAGCCTGCGGCTTTCTTTTTCTCCCGGAACACTTCCTGCTCTCGGAGCCCCTTTCTTGGACACACGCACACCAAGAGCCAGGCACGGCGCAGGCCAGCCGCTCCCACCCCCTCCGAATGGGCATTTCAGCAGCAGAGCTGAGATCTTTCCCTTTCCGCCCAATTGCCTCGGCTCCCAAACATTTTGGCTAATCTTTATTTGATTTATTTTGGGGATGGGGAAAATAGCTATGCTGTTTATAATGAAATAAAAACAATCTAGAATGCCCAGTCTCTGAATTTCGCCTTGCCTGCCCGTGCCAGGAGAGGAGGGTGGCTGATTCTTGTTGAGAAACAAATCTGTCCAGAGCAGTTGAGTTTCCACATTTGAGTGTGAGCGACATTGGAGAGAAGAATCGCAGCACTAAGATGCACTTGGAGATCGGTCTATTCCCCCTGCTCTCTCTGGACATTTGTTTTCCTCCCAGCTTTGGACCCTGTTTTCATTTCTCATTCCTTTTCCCAATCCCTCTTTCTTTCCTCCTCCTCCCCCTTCTTTCCATTCTCGTCTTTCTCCTCCTTTTCTCCTCTTCCCCCTTTTCCTTTGTTTGCCATTTCACTCCCTCTCTGACGCGCACACAGCTCCATCCAAATGAAATAGCAGGATCTGCCAGAACTATTTCCCAAAGCCGGCAGGGGGGTTTATTTAACTGCAGCCGACTGTAGCTTTTATATCGCAGGGTAATTTGGTTTTTAGACGTCCCGGCTCCAAAACACATGGCATTGTGCTAAGTGCAGAATCTCAGCCGGGAGACGCTGACATGGAAATGAGCGAGAGTACAATAGACTCCAGAGAGAGCTGTGTGTGCGGGAGAGGGGAAACAGATCGATGAGACAAATATTTACGAACTCCAAAGGCAATAGCAATGCAGTAGTGACTGGGAGCGGGGAGCTGCAATTCCTGTGATGGTGGGGCCCACAGTTGAAAGAAGCTCTGTACTCCCAGGGGCTCAGCCTGTACCGCTAACATCCTTCCAGCCATTCGTCTGACTAATTTGTGGGATTTTCCTATCAAATCCCCAAAGTTAGTTTCCACCATTTAGACAGTCTCCTCCTGTCAGCTCCCTGTAGTTTGCTCCTTGGGCACAGGGGGCAGCACTGAAGGCCCCTCTGTTCCCCGCTGCTCCAGAAGCAGTGTCAGGGCATGTTCTGCCCCTCTCAGCCAGCTCACCTGCCATCTCCCTGCCCTGCTACCCTCAGCACCTGCCCCAGACATCAGGGCCTCAGACGAATAGTGCAATGGCCACATCCTAGGGCTTGAACCTCCAGAGCGCAATGTGGGACCTGCTGCAGAGCCAGAGCTCCTGAGCAGGGCTGTGCCAGCCTCTGGACTGGCAGAAAGGGGGACCTGTGGCTGCCCAGTGGGGGACGAGCACCAGCTCATGTGATTTCCCCCCTCCCCGGCCCAGGAGGGTTTCGTGCAGGCACATGTGATGATTTGTGGTACTCTGCCTCCCCCATGCACACTTGCTGGCCTCATCCATCTGGCTCAGCTGGGCTGATTGACCAACAAATACCCCAGTGGAGACAAGGCCCTTGGGCAAATGTCTGAGACCCCCCCCATCTCTCCACCCATACCCCTGTCAACGGTGCTTTGCCACCATCTATTTCCTTGGTGCGACATGTGGCCTTGGGATCTGTGGTGGGAAGGAGATGGCTGGATCTATCTCTGAGCCAGGAAGAATTAATAACCTGGTGCCTGCAGAGCACAGAGCTGTGAAACGAACCCGCTTTCCCTCCCCCTTGGCAAAGCAGATATACCCAGACACCGGCAGTGTCGCCACCTCCTCTGCATTTACGGCAAATGTCCTGGAATTTGGGGTCCGTAAAGCCCCAGCGCCTGGATTCATGTGAGCATTTGAGAGCCTCCCTCTTAAATTGGGAAGAAGGAAGTTTCTGGCCCTGCTGGTTGCAGAGAAAAGTTGGAAAACATGACCTGCGGGTGACCGTAACAGCTCAGAAATCAGAAGGCAAAGGGGAAGAACCTCGTTTTCTTATTGGCTTAAATCTCATGAGATTTAAGCCAATATCTCCTGATTGGTTGGGGCCTGACTCCTGACTGAGCACGGGGTCTTGGCCAGACTGCAATGAGGAGCCTGCCAAGTGATCAGTCAGTTCCAAACTAGTCCTCTCAGGCCTACTGTGGATGCGCCAGCTGGAGGATTTGGGGGCGGGCCAATGCGCTCACTCTCGGGGCAGCTCTGATCCAACCCAACTCGTTCAGTGCCCACAGGCTGTTCCTTTTCGTTGTTGCTTATCCCAGATGAGACCAGATCCACCCTGCTTGTCCAGGGCACCTTGCCAAGCACCTCTCCCACCAGCTGACCCCGTTCAGCAGGGATCCATCCACAAGACGTTGGATCCAGCTGGTCCTTGAAGGGGCAGTGGGTCTCGGCCCAGTTGTGCCATTATGCCCCCCCGGGGGTGAAGGGGAGATGAAGATGGTCATGTGACCCAGTCAGACCCCCTGGACTAGATGCGGGACTGGGCTGGCTACTGGGGAGATGGAGAGCAAGAGGGGAGAATGGGAAGAAGGCCGGAGGGCAGCTGCTGAAGAAAGGGCAGGAGGCAGCCCAAAGGGTTGAGGGTAGAGATGGAGGGGAGCCTGGCAAGACTCTGTGTTTTGCGTTTGGTTTTGGACTCACACCCTGGAAGAGGTGGGCTTAGCTGAAGGCCTGAGTCACTAAGGGGAAACTGAAGCAGCGATGTTTCAGGAACCTCCCCTCCCCCTGGCATGAGGGGTGCTCTGGAGGCAGTGTCCCTGTTAGAGAGCCCCTCCCATCTCCTTCCAGACACTTGCTGAAGCAGGGAGGCCTAATGGGTAGGGCACTAGCATAGGACTTGGGAGACCTGGGTTCAAATCCCTGCACTGTGGCAGACTCCCTGTGTGACCATGGGTGAGTCACCTGGTCTCTCTGTACCTCGGTTCCCCACCTGCCCAATGGGGGTAACAGCTTGGTCCCTGAGGGGTGTGTGAGAAGAAATACACTACAGAAGGGGAAACTGAGGCAAAGCATGACCCACCCAGCAGGTGCATGGCAGAGCCAGGACTAGAGTTCTGATTGCCCAGCCTGTGCTCTGCTCACCGGACTGCACTGCCTCCTTTCTAGCAGATGGGTTGCCATGTTCAGGGGCCGTGAGTGAGGGTTGGGGTATGGCCCACGTTTACAGGTCGAACTAGAAGGGGAAGACTGAGCACGGGCTGTGAGTACTGCACTGGGGAGGTCTCTGGTAGCAGGCAGCTCTCCTCGAGCACAGGTAGCCAGCGCTGGCAGGTGACGTTCGACCAATTCCCAGTGGCAGTAAGTGGCATTGCTGACAGTGAGGATAATTAGCCAGTGGACTGAGGAGTGTGGGGGAGTCTCCCTCATTGCTGGCTCAGCACAGGGCTAACGGGGGAGGAGCCCTGGTCGGTCACTAGGGTCCCATCTGGATTTAAAATGCTCTCCCTGCCGCATTAAGATAGATCAGCTTCAATTCCCGGCACACCCCCTGGGAGCTACGTCCCTTGTGAGCCTGGTGGTTCGTGCATGGCCCCCAGCTCTCCCCTTCGTGGTGTTGCCGGATCCCCACAGTGCCCAGCCAACCTGGCACATACAGATCTTTTTTTTTTCTCCAAAGTGCCTTTTGTCTCTTTTTGTTCTGTAAATAATGAAGCCCAGATTTCCCCTCCGCTCCCTGGGTCCTGCGCTTCTTTGCTCGGTGGGGGGCGTGAAGGGGAGGGAACAGTCATGATCTGGGCCAGCAGCTGCCAGCTGGAGGGTCAGCCAGGTCCTTCCATGACTGCCGTGGGGTCGGGCCAGGAGGGGGCTGTTCAGTCCTGAACCAGCCGCTTGGATTACTGCCCCTCAGTCAAACCCCATTTGCTTTGGCAAATGAGGCCAGCCTGTGAACTGGTTAATTACGGCAGTGCTGGGGACGCTGGCTTGCTTGGCAGAGTCCACTGTCCTGCGGGGACTGGGGACCCCTTCCTGAAAAGCGTCTGGTCATGGGGCGAGCGTTTGGACCTGCCCCATCACCTGCCTCCCCTTAGTTCCACGTTCAATGAGCGGCGGGTGAAGAGTTTGCAAACAAAAATAGTTTGCACCCCTCCCACCAGATGGCTAGGGACAGACTGGTCAGAGAAGAGCTGGGTTTGAAGGCCGCTTTTATAAACGGGGACCTGGCAAAATGACGGGAAAGATACGAAGGAGCCAGCTGCCTGGGCTCCTCTGTATGGGCCAGACAGCAAGAGATGTGGAAAGGAATGACCAACCATCCTGTCTGGTCTGCTCAAGCCCTCATGGGGGGCTGCCCCACCTCCCCAAAAGCTGTCTCCCCAGCTTCTAGCCCTTCCCCCGAACACTGGTGCAAGGGGAAGGGAAGCTGAGCTGTGGTTAACCCCTTGTTCACCAGGTAGTGCCCCCTTCGTCTAACAGGTCAGCCCAGATCAGTGCACCCTGGGAGCTGGGCAGGGGCTGGGGAATTACTCCAGTGGTGGCCCTAAGACTTGGGGCCCCATCTCCCCACTGCAGGGTCTGAGGAACAGTCAATAGGGCTTGTGCCGACCGTCAGACCCCTTATGGACTCCTAGACTGGCTCCCTTCCCCCCCACCCCCACCCCCAGTTCTCGTCCATCTTCTGATGCGAGGGGGACTACGTGGGAAGGAGCCTGGGAGGTATGTGTGAGCTGGGTGTGGCCCTGGCAGTGGTCTGGGGTCTGTCTGTGGATGGTGCTCCCCACAGGAGAGGCGGATGGGGTGAGAACCACGTCCCCTCAGTGGGCGGGCTGCTCCGTTCTCCGCCCCCCCAAGTAACGCTGCTTTCTCCTGCCCGCTAGGCTTCCCAAGGACTCTGCCTGGACTTAGATCCACCCCACCATGCCCCTCCTTGGCGTCGTCCTCTGGGTCACCCTGCTGACGCTGGGCTGGCGGGTGGCCCACGCCAAGGACTACGTCTTTGCCACCCCGAGGGTGCAGCTCTCCCTCAAAGGTAAGACACTGTCTCCTTCCTTCTCGAACCTAAAGCTGGGGGTCCTGTGTCTTGTGCTTTGGGGTCGCTGTAGCAGCTGGGTCCAGAGTCCATTCCAGGGGCATGGGAATCCAGGTCTGGTTCTTCCCCTCCCAGGGGCTACACCAGAGTCCATTCCAGGGGCTCAGCAATCCAGGTCTGGTCCTTCCCCTCTTTAACCTCCGGGCCATTAGCACATCCATCAATCCCTTCTGTGTCCACCCTCTTTCTGAGCCAACATGTGCCCTTGGGGCACAGGAAAATCCTGGCCAGGAGCATTGGATCTTGCTGGAATGGATTCTAGTCAGTTCCTCTGGTGCCAATCAGATCCGCTTGGTGCTGTGGGCGGTGTGGGGGAATTGCATTGTGGCACAGGGAACTTTCCCACCATTCCTCAAGTCGAGCGTTGTGACTGTTGGACCAGACAGCAGGTGGAAATGCGGTGAGCCCAGGCTGGTCCTGGCACCTAGGATCTGGTGATGCCCAAGAGTGGGCTCCCTCGGAAAGGGGGAGGGGTGACGCCGTTCTTCTGGCTAGTCCCCCCTCTGCCCATGCGGTGGGGCAAGGCTGTTGGACTCCTCCGTGCCAGGCGGCTAGGGTTTGGAGCACGCAGCTAGTGGCATCTGTGGGCCGCAGCTGAGATAGTCCTAGAGGGGAGCCCTGTGTCCAGTCCCACAGCACCCTGTGGAAGGGAGCACAGGCCTGGTTCCCAGCTGACGTAGTTGAAAGGTGAACTGGCAGGACGTGCCGGCTGCTGTCACAACACAGGGTGTGCAGTGAGCACTTCTGCTCCCCTGCCCTTCCTTCCCATCCCTGCAACACAGAACGGCTTGGGCCTTGGGGGAGCCGGCAGGGTGGATTTATCTGCAAGCCCCAGCCAGGGCGAATGCAGAAAGCACGAGTGAAGGATCGGAGCTGGCAAAGGAGGGGGCAGGTGCAGAGCCCTGGAGCAGGGCTCGCTAGCCTGTTGGAAATTAAGCCACCTGCTGGTGTTGGTGCCTGTATGGGCTGGGACCTGCTCTCCCCCATCACCCCCGGGTCCATTTGTGGGATCTGCTCACTGGCTCTGCACTTGCTCAGATACCTGGACGCTTTCCAGATGTACATTGCCTTTTGCGATCGCCCCAGGGGTGTTGGACCCCAGGCCAGGAGGCCTGCTGCCAGGGTGGGGGTTGAGCTGGAAAGAGGAGGGATGTGAGTGGATGCAACAAGTTTCGGCAGGGTCAGGATTTGCACAAGCAATTTGTGATCATCGTGGGCGCCTCTGACCAGTCGCTGGGTGAACACTGCATGGCGCCTGTGTCCTGGGTGTCTTTGTCACTTGCCAGCTGGGGAGAATCCGCAGGCTGGCAACATGGCCTAACGGGCAGGACACCACACTGGAACTCATTGAGACCTGGCTTCTGTTCCCACCTCTGCAACCTTTGCCGAGTCCCTGCCCGTTCTGTGCCTCAGTTTCCCCTCTTGCTCCTCAGCTCTTGAGACTGTGAGGTCTTCAGGGCAGAGTGTCTCTCACTGTGTTAGACAGGGCGTGGCCCAACAGGACTCCGACTTGGGTTGGTGCTGCTAGGTGCTACTGTAGACGATAGGATGCAACCCAGGGAGAGTCCCATGCCTCTTCAGCCCCTGCCTCTTCTCTCCTCTGGAGGGGTTTGCCCTTTGGGCTCCTCCCATCCTGGTACTGGAAGCCACTTAGGACTCAGCTGGGCCTGAGCAGAGTGGGTAGGTGCTGTGTGGACAAGAAGCAGGTGGATGGCTGGGGCGGGAGTCCTGGAGGGTTGTGGGAAGGCTTTGAGGGTTTGCAGCCTTCAACAGTTGTGCCATGGCGCTAGCCTGCATCCACACTAGAGGGAGCAGGAGGGACGGTTGCTGTACCCCGGTCATGCCAGCGCAGTCCTGGGATTGCCGCCACTCCGCCCGTGTGGGGTTTGTGCATGTGGACAGGGTTGGAGTTAATGGGAACACTCAAGTGATAACTCGCGTTCACTCGCTCGTGGAGGCCAGCCCACAGCCCCATTGCAAACGAGGTCCCGTAATGATGCCTGCATGCCCCTGCATGTGGGCTCAGCCAGGCCCTTCGCCACTTGGTACCACTGGGCAGGTGTGCAAATCTGTGCAAATGGCTGCGATCCGTACAGCCGTGGCTCCTCGTTGCCCCCACCCTGTGCTGCTAGGGCCTAGAGCTTTGTTTCCTGCCTGGGCCGTTAGCCAAGGAAGCAGGACACTGCATGCCCCCGTTTGTGGTACTGCTGTTGTGCTAGCATGGTGCAGACAGGGTAAGAGCCCCCCTCGCCAGGCCTGGGTGGCACCGGTGTCCCTGTTTTGCTGATTTTGGTGTCCAACGGGGCGTGTGCCGGCCCTCAGTGAATTTCATTTCACGCTGTATGTACCTGATCCTGCGTTGCCCTGCTGACTCTAGCGGTGTTCCTGCTGGCTTATGCTGGGGTACCCGAGTGCAGAGCCCAGCCCTTTATTTCTCAGGAAAACGTGAATGGAAACATTAATTCAGATGGTCTCAGGGTGGGGGTGGGGCGCTGTCAGGTGGGCTGGAAAGTGGGTCGACCACCGTCCCAGACCAGCCCCGTGTTGTCTGGGAGATGAGTGGCCATGGCGATGGGCTTAGCCTGGCCTCGAATAACATCTCTGCTAATGGTCTGGGAGTGACCCACACGCCCATCAAGGCGAGCTGGGAGGAGGCGAGGAGAATGAAACCACACAAAGGCGCACGGCAGGGTTAGGCGCGCGGGCAGAAAATGGAGGCTGATTTCAAGGGGAGCGTGGCGGTGGGGCCGCCTGGGGAGCTGGGAAAGGAGCCGAGTCTTGGGACAGATCTAGCCGGCAAAATGAGAAGTTCAGCTCCACAGACTCTTTGCAAAAGGCCACTGCTCTCTGCCGTGCGTAAACCGCGGGGGAGGAGTTATTTCACACGGTACTTGTGGGTATAACTTGGAGGACGCTCAGGGGAGCTGGGCTGGGGACAGTCCAGCCCTTGGGACTTCGAGTGTGTTTTGTGCACAGGCTGGGAAGTGGACTCAGCTACTAAGGTTTTTGCAGGCCTGTGGTTCTGTGATACGCTGCAACAGGACTGCATCGCAATGTGCGGTGTTCCCAGCTGGTCTGGGCTCCAGCATGGAGCGAGAGCCAAGTCGGAGTAAAATTCAGGCTTTAGTCCTTCCTTCCACCTACGCTGCCCACTCCCGGCAAGCCCTCACTGAATGGAGAGGCCTCGCTGCCCCGCTAGGTAATCACCCAACAGCGCCCCCTATTGGGAAGCTGGCCATCACAACACCCAGGTGTCTGTGCTGAGCGAAGGATGCAACGTTGCAGGATTGAGAAATGGGAGGTGGGGGAAATTGCAGCCACCTGCTTCTCACTTCGGAGACTAGACCAGGCAGCATGTAACCGCACGGGGCATGCCGGGGGCAGCAGCTCTAGCACAGTCCGGACAAGCATTGTTAAGCGTGGTGTGCGGCGGGAGTGTCCACATGCAGTCGCTTCCATGGGAGCTGGGCGTTGCTTGTACGTCTCTGGTATAACGGCCAGATCGGGCAGTTGTCAGGTGGGATTCCCTTGACTTAGGAGCCCAAATCCTGTCACCTGAGGGATTTAGGAGCACAGGTCTTATTGACTTTCACTTTCCTCTGGAAATCCCACCGGTTTGGGACTCAGGGTGGTGTTTCCAATTTTCACTCCTCTACTTGCCTCTGCTGCCCCCATCAGCCGCTCCGCCTCCAGGCGGTACCCGCTGGGGATCTGTCTGGCTGCGCTGGCTGACAGCTGCGCACCTGCCTCTGCAGCCATTGGAGAGCTGTTAATGAGGGGCACTGAGGGAATTGCTGCTTCCTTTTATCCCCTCCCCGAAAGCCACCCACCCTAGGTGCTGGTGGGCACAGATGTGATGGGCAAGGAGGGTGCAGTTTACACGTCGTTGAACTGGAGTAATTTTTGGAGCGTCTTTTTGCCTTACTCCGAATGAGCAGGTCACCTGCCCCCTGTCCATTAGGGGTTCTCTCTGCCCTGCTGCTGCGCTCTTTCAGTGTCTCCAGTCAATGAGAATTAACCTCTCGCCTTCCTTAAGAGCCAGCTGGGATGCTGGAGCTGTAAACTGAGCTGGCTTTAATCGGCTTTTACGAGTCGATAATTTCTCTGTGTGTCTCTCTGCACCGAGGCTGCAGGGCGAGTTGGGGAGGGCGGCTGCAGGGAGACCTGCTAAGCAGCTCAGGCCCTCATAGCCAGCTCTGTGCATGAAAACAACTCCAGGGCTGGGGGAAAGGTGAGGGATTCACTGGGCCAGCTCTCTCCTCCCCCTTGGCCCAAATCCCACCGCGGATTAGCCGGCAGGAACAGGCCCTACCTCCACAGGCAGGAAAGGAAAGCAAGTGAGCAAAGATAAGCCCTGTTGGGGTCGTGCAGATGGCGCAGGCCCAGCAGGCAGTGAAATGGGAGCCTGGACTGCGCCTCTGCCGAGCTGTCAGGGCTAATGGCATGCCAGCTTTGCGGGACAGGGATCCAGCCCTGCTTTTATGTCACCAATGGAATGAGTTTGGCGGTTTCAGCCATGGGCCCATTAGGGGGAACTGGTCATGCGATGAAAGCCGTTGTCCAATATGGCACAAGTTGTTGGGTTTTGTTCAAGAGAAAATTATTGGAATTGAGGCAGCACTGCAGGTCAGGAGCGAGGGGCACCAGCAGAGCTGTGGGGGGAGTCCAGGACTGGGATAGCAGGAACTGTGGGTTGGGACTGAGGGGCACTGGCAGAGCTGTGGGGGGGAGCCCAGGACTGGGATAGCAGAGGCTGTGGGACGGGAGTGAGGGGCACTAGCAGAGCTGTGGGAGGAGCCCAGGGCTGGGCTAGTGGGGGAGTGTTAAAGGTTCAGGAAGATGCCCAGAGCTGGGGGAGGGGGACTCAGTTCTGTGGGGTGGCTGCAGGTGGGAACTGAAGGGCACCTGTCAAAGGGGTGTCTGGGTGTTCAGCAGGACTG